AGAGGGAAGGAACTTCGCCCGTCCCCCGGAGCAGCCGGGGCACCGCGGAGGGAGGGCGGGAAGGAGGGGGATCCCGCGCAAACAGCTCCCGTATCCCGGATTGAATCACCTTGTTTATTTTTTCCTGATGGCTTGTTGTGCTAATTGACTTGTTTTCTCCAAGGAAAGCCTATCTCTCCGCCCGCCCCCCCGATTTTTTTTCTTCTTTTTTTCCCCCTTTTTTCTTTTCTTTTTTTTTTTTTCCTCCCCAAACCGGGAGCGCTCTGCAGGAGACTGCGGCTTGTGGAGGGATCTACCCGTTCTAAGGGAGATTCCCTTACCCCTTTGAGTCTCGTCGGTTTTATAGCTATTACTCTCTTATTAAAACACACACACACATACAACACATTGATTTCCATCCAAAAGGGCTAATTACATTACTTACAGTAAATAGCAGCCCTGCTGTCCAGGGTCTAGTGTGCCAACAGAGAAAAAAAAAAATCCCGGCTTATTTCACTTGATTGCCTTCATCTTTGTGTGAAATTTTGTTTTATGAGCTGTATTCTGGCACTCGGAGGAAGGCAGCAACATTCAATCTGCAAATAACATTAATTTTAGCTATTTAGGGGGAAAGAGAAGGGAGGAAACTGGCTGCCTGAATCTTGGGTTACATGGAAGAGGTGACTGGAGGAGCCCCTGAGGATGTCTCTGGGATGCTTTGGAAAGGAAGTGGGGGCTGGGGTACTTCTTTCACTAGTCGCGCTCGGGTTTGGTGTGGAGCGTCCCCCGGGGAAGCGGGAGCGGAGAACTGCCGCCAGGAAGATCCTTCAGTAGGGATCGAGGTGTCAGGAAACAGCCGGCAGCTGTTCCAGGGGAAGGCAAGGAAGAGTGGTGTGAAAAGTAAGTAGGAAAAAGGGAAAAGGAGGGGAGGGGGAGCAGAGGGAGGGAGGTTAGCCGGCAAGGAATGCATCGCCCAGTCCCCCGCACACAACGATCGCTCGCAGCCCGCAGCCGCGGAGCGGGCGAGGGGAG